GGAGGGAAGTAGCTTGATTTGCTATGCTTGCATGTTTGTGGAGACACACATAGCTTACTAGCACACGGAAGGGTGACTCCATAGCATTCTGCTTGAGGAGTCACTCAAAAACAGAAAGTCAAAGCCAGTGCTCAGAGGACCAGCTAATTCTGCAGGAAGCTAACAGGGTTATTCACAAAAGGGTGCAGAGTTTGGAGAAGGCAGGAGAAGGGAACAATCTAGGACAACATAGCGGAACTGGAAAGCGAGAAGAATTGGAGAATGTTTCCAAATCAACTATGTTGTCCTAGATTGTTCACTTCTCCTGCCTTCTCCAAACTCTTCACCCTTTTGTGAAAAACCCTGTAAGAGTTTTAAACATCAAGGAACAGCATCCATTGTAAGTGATTTCATCAGCATCTGAAATAGGTTAAAATCATTTTGACTTTAATATCATTTTAAGTATACTTCTATTGGCCCAGCTTGGCCCCTATGTAAGTATACATCTTTTATACCTGGAAGATCCATGGGGTTCCTGTAAAACAGTGGAGCAGTGTTGTCATTCTAAAACTGGCTACTCACCAGTAGAATTTTCGGAACCTTAATTGTATTTTCTACAGCGGTGGGAATCAGTGGCTCCTGCAGGTCCCGGCAGGGGTGCAGTCTGAAACCATTAGTTATCAGTGACATCTTGCTTCCAGTGCTAAGCCCAGGCTGCTGCTCCTTCAGCTAACTCTCTGTGACAAGTTTACGGAGCAGCCAAGGGCAACAGTTTGTAAAGGTTATGACTTATTACTAAATATGCTACAGATTTTCATTCTAAACATTCGCATAATTAAGCAGTGATTGGGGACGGGTTTTATTCTGTCGCAATGCTACTTTAGAACAGCTGAGAGAGGAAATTATAATTGAAGCTGTAACCTTGTAATAAATCTGTTTCACAATTGATCTCGGTGCCCCTGTTTAGCACTGCTTTGCCATGTGACAGAATTATTAAATCTCCCCACAATAAATAATAGCCTGACACTACTAGCTGACAGGCTTTCTCCATGCTTGACTATGATTGGTTCCTGGTAGTAGCCAAGTAATGCTGTGTTGTAGAATGATGCAAGAACATAAAGCAGTTGCACATTTTTTAAACAAAAATGTATTTTGAATGGCATACCTGTAGGCCACGTGTGGCCTCTCCCAAACCTATCAGAAATCACCATTCATATGGGCCACCTTAAGACGCAGGTACATTTTCCCCCTCCTTTTGGGAGGGGGAAAATGTGCCTGTGTCTTAAGTTGGCCATACACTTCACAACCCTCGCAAGACCTTACGATCTGCCCATCTTGGACAGGCAGATCGTACTTGCGTACCCTGAGGGGCGGCCTTTCCGATGACTGCAATGAGGGGCGGGCTTCCGATGACTGCAAACCGTTGTTTGGCAGTTGTCGAAGAAGCAGGCCACTATCGTACGATTCTCGGCGGGTTTTCCAGCCTGCTTGTTCGACGGAAGACGTGCGACCGTACAGTAGAAACGGTCACACGTCTTCCATACACTTTGCGATTATCGTACGATCGCGGGATTCT